CCACCAAAGAAGATGTAACGATATATAGTCTATACCTTTCTCGGCCTTTTGGCTAAGATCAATTAAATTTCTCATCCGTGGTCCATCCGGCCACTTGAAAAAAAAAAAAGGATACCTCTGACTTGTACACTTTTTGCTTGAACCAAAAAAGCTGGAGGCTGCCATTCGCAGGGTAAGGAGGGAACACACGAGGCGAAGGGCATCTCCACCAGCAGGATCGTGGATGCATCGCACGTCCACATAACATTCACGTGGTCTGCTACTTTCTTACACGAATAGAATGCCCGGCCATTGTAGATGTATTTGGTGCAACTCGCAGTCCAGATGCAGCGATAATGACCAGGGGTTCTATTCGGGTCAAGATGGTAGTATGGGCGGAGACCACGAACCCCAACCCAACTCTCCACACCACATCCTTATGTTAGTGATAGCAATTTTCTTCCATCTTCCCACAGGAACCACATTCACTCCCAACAGATTGCTCAATACCTACGGCGGGCCTAGCTCAGCTGGAACATGCATGGACTGCTGAAATACGGAGCTGAGTTCGGATGCAATTGGAACCGGCGGAATGAAATCAAATACCACTGAGTAACCTGGCGGGGCCGATCAGTTCGACGCATGGGAAGGTGTTGTTCTTAGCACCACAGTCTCCCAAAGATCCTTGCACCCTTCTCATTATTTGTTGCGTGTGTGGGATGGACAGTATACGGTCCAGCATTCACCCTCGTGAAGAGTTTGTATGTAGCCCACAATGTGGCTAACGTCTAGCTTTCGCAGAGTGCCTCGCCCGGGTAGGGACCTCGGACGGGGTACCCGGGCATGAAAAAAATCCACTGAAATGTTTTGTTTTGTTTTTTGGGTCTGTGGGGCCTTGCTGCGCTCTCCCAATAGTCCCCAGATCCGGCCTCATTGTTTTCTTTTGGGCATACCGGTTTCAGTGTGTCGAGGAGGGGGAGGGGGGGTAGGGGAAGGGCTGTCTCTTATACACATCTAGATGTGTATAAGAGACAGGTGCTGGCTCCTGCCATTCTGGGGAGCAACAGTCCGGTTCCTATTCCCCCGGCAAATCAGAATTGAATACAAGAAATACTCACTCCCGGTCCTC